AGGCTATTTATTTTCAAACTTTTTTTACATTTTAATCTGGACTACAACATGCCCTAGATATTGTTTGAAAGTGTTTTGATTCTTTATTGTTCGGTCACACTTTACATTAGGGCTTCATTAGTTAACATAAACTGCCAATGAAAAATTCTTCTGAACATTCATTAATCTTAGGTAATTACAATATTTAATAACAGGATGTTAAAATCGAGAGTTGCAGCTGTGTTATTTAATGAGATAACATGAACTAAGACTTGTATTTTTTAAACAAAGATTAATAACTTCTGTAGCAAATGTAGCTATTGCTCATTGTGAATGTTAATGCATTAACTAAGCTTAACTAATGAGGTCTTATTGTAAAGTGATACCTATTGGTCTTTATAGTTCTTTTGCACTTTAATCTGTGTAAAACTTTTAACTTTACACATTTTTCTGTATTGCTTTATTGCATTTAAATGTTCAGTTATTTTTGTTATAAGAAAAAAGTTATTAAACCTGTTATACTGTATTATGACAGCACTTTTTTTTTTAAACTTAATTTCAATATCGTGATAATACCATATACCGTAATAAAAGCATTAGCAATTAATCGCAACATGACAATTTGATACCGGCATATCCCTAAATATCTAATTCGGATATAAAATTAAGCAAAAATTTTATTTAAAATGTTAAGTAGGAAGTAGGAAGACTTCAGTTATGCAACCCAACAACTCAATTAATTACCTCACACTATTCAGAGTACCCCAGAATAAACTCCAGTAACAAATGCATGACTATCCCTTGATGCATTTCTGCTCAGTCATTAAATCAGAGATGCATAAACTGATTAGAGGCATAAAGACTTCTCCTATGACAGTAAACACAAGTAAAATGCTATCTTCTTCTCATATCTCATGAATAAGACTCATGAATATTAATGACTGAATACATTTCTGATAAGAAGGGTGCATGAATATTTATAAATACTATATATTTTGTAACTGCGAAAGATTAAGCCAATCAGACGTGGCCTTTTAAATAGAGGCCAAAGTGTTTGACAGCAAACTATGTCTGGTCAATACTGACGTCTAGTGAATGACTGCAGGGCAAGCTACTTAAGTTAGATGGGGATTAGTATATCCTTTGAGCTGGCCAGAATCAATTCCAAATGTAATTAAAGCAGAGCATATAGAGTTGAGTAGAGAGCCAAGATTATTTTTAATATCCCCTTAGACTAAAATATCAACAATAGGGTTTATGTTAAATGATTGCGCAGACTCTTTTCTTCTAAGGATGCACCGATATTATGTATCAAAAATTACTGTCATGTTATAAGTGAAGACCAATTAATAGTCACTGTTAAAATTCTATACTATAATGCCTGATAAAATAAAAAATAAAATCAGCAGAAAAATTAAATACAATAGTGCATTTAGGCATCATAACATTATACTGTAATATTCATTTTGGCATTTTCATTTTTTTTTTGGTGTTTTGCCTTTATTATGATATGACTGGAGAGCAGATAGAAAGCGAAGTGGGAAAGAGAGAGGGGGTGGGACCAGGAAACGTCGGATTCGGATCGAACTCGGGACGCCCGTAACGCAACGCCATTATATGTCAGTGCACTTGCACACTAGGCTATCGGCGCCAACCATTTTGACCTTTTCTAATGAATATATTAAATAGTGATATAAAATTTTTTTTTTAATTGTAAAAAAATCTGTTATTCTGTTTTAACTTTAAATGAGCATTAAAAGGCAAACCTTTATTTAACACTTGCATATGAAGTCAAAACAAAGCATGTCTGATGTGGGAAATAAAGTCACTGCATCTAATTGAAGAGGTCAACTCCATCACTCCTGCATGTGCAGCCCAGACGAGGCCTGGCTTTTCTGTGGATGCTCTCTAAATGTCAATTCTGTGGCTGTGGCGATCTATGTTAGCAAGTAGCTGCGCAAAGTGTTCCCTCCCAAAGGCGATGCCACAGCTCCCCAGTTAATGGCGCACAGGACCCTGGATGTACACTTATTGAAGGTCCTAATGGAGGGCTAGGGGGACCTTTTTCCTTAGGCGAGAGAGGAGAGAAGCAGACTATCACTTCATGTAAGAATTGGCCATGTGTGACAGACCTGACCTACATTCTCTCTCGCTATCTTTCTTTATTTCCCTCCTCCTCTACTACCCACAATTCTCGCTATCCTCTTCTGTAAGGAAGCATCTGTCCAGACCAAAGACAATAGCTCTGTTTTCATTCCTTCCTTTGGTATTTTAAATATTTTAGACAATTTTAGTTGTCTGTCCCAAAGGGCTAGTGACAAATCTTGTTTATGCTCTTAATACAGTTTTATCAACATTGACGAACAGAAATGAATGATACATTTTTACATTATTATCTAGAGTAAATGCTTTGCTGTGCATTCGCAAAATTCAGTAAAGTGAAGCCTGTTATATCTAAACATAATTCTTCAAAAATTGTCTAGTACTCTTTCAAAAGTGGATGAAATCAAAATTGCTAAAGTATTCTGGGAGGTTGCTATGAGATTAATTAGCAATTCTATTTGCCCATTTTTTAAATTTTTTTTATTGTTGCCCATTTTATTATTCAACAGTCAAAAAAAACCGCAAGCGTGGTCGCTTAGCAAAAGCATTTACTGAGCCTTTATGAAATTCAATAAAACAGCCCATCTAAACAACTAATTCCTCCAAATCTCTTCAGTCTAGTATGGTTTCAATACTTGAGAGCCCATGAGAGGACAGACAGGTGGGAACATACCCCGCAGCTGAAGGTTGTACTCCTTCCTGCTCTCCTCATTACTCAAGATCTTCCAAGCTTGGTCAACGTCAATGAATCTCTGCAGGTGCTGCTCCGCTTCACCTTCTGATACGTCCGGCCTCTGCTTGTCCGGGTGAAACTACCAATCAAAATTGAGCAACGAAATTGATGACAATCATGCTTTACTGAAACTATTACACATGGACATTTATGTTTAATTAAATCACAACTGAAACTGACAATATGACTGGAGATACAAAAGATAGACTAGAAGAATGTAAACAAAACGACAGTTGACGGAAGTTTATGGGCAATTTGCTGATGGACTAGCCTTGCAATTTTTGGACAATTTACCAGTGAAGGCAGAGCATGGATACTAATACGGACAATGGTGCAAAAAAAAGGCAAAATATATATCAGTTAGGACAGATGTGTCTTCTCAATGATGAGGCTAGACAGAGTGGATAGTTAGAAGGGCAAAGGGTGCCTCCTTCCTCCAGCCAAAAACACTAATGCGATCTCCACTTCACATCCTAAAATATGACAGTTCATACCGTAACATCACAGCTTACTTTTTTTTTTTTTTACCCAGAAGTCTAATGCAGCCCCCAAAAGTGAGCTTTAGGGGTTATTTTGACAGTCCCTTCCAGCCTGGATGGATTCTTACAGTATAGAATTATTCTTCTCCTTGAGGACTCTACAGAGCGCAGGCTGTGGCTATCGATTAGTGGGGGTTGAGGGTCAGCCGAGCCGCGGGGCTCTTCATTCGCCCACTGGAGAAGAGCAAAGTTGAGAGGGGCAAACGGAAATCAACTTAGATCCTTTCGAGCAGGCATTCAACCAAACTCTGATTATGCTCTGGCACAGGCGAGCAGAGCATTGCATGTGTGTGTGTTTGTGTTTTTGTATGGTCGCTATAGTTCAGAAACTGCACCGCCGCCAAAGTCGGGTAATGATGCATGGGGTGACACTGGCCTACAATAACCAACAATCCGGGGCAAGCCAATTACTGTCCACAGTGATTATATTTTTAATTTTAAGTAACAGGAAGACTGAATTCAACTAATCATTTCAAGCAATTACCTTTAAAACGAATTAAAATTTAAGGGCGCTTGTTCTCTGTTGTTTCCCGTTCATCCCCCCCTTCTCTGTTTGTGTTTTTGTTGTTGTTTTCACTTTGTTAATGGGCGGTCAGAATGCAACGAGAAAAGCAAATGCAGCAACAAGCCAAAAATTAACCTCCTGATTGAGAGAATCATTAACCGTTTCTTGGCGTTATCACAGTGCGGGTGAAAGAGGGCAAGCGCTCAGCCGCCTCGAATATGAAAAAGAGGGGCTGATGAGCTTTAACTGAAAGAACCTTAAATATATTGACGTAAATCATTCATTGGTGCCATCCAAAAGATGGAAGGCTTTTGGGAGCGAGTTCACTCCAGTATTAGCGCTTTCACATGCCGCTATTACGGAGGATTTCAAGTTGGTAAAATGCAAGAAAGCATCCTTTTTCACTCAAATCTTAGTTTAATTAAAAGTACCAGAGTAAAAAAGACATTAAGATTAGGAACTGCACAGGATACCAGCTAAGAGGATTAAATCGATCTGTGTTTAGGACGCTTCAGATCAGAGGATCAGAGAATGACCAAAGCTAAATAGCTAAAGTGAAAACCTGAGCTGTAAGTGAAACTTTAAATCAGCATGTGCAAAAATTTCAAATGAAACCAAACCCTTATGTATCCTTAGATATCAGAAATACTGTTTTTATTTCTGTGGTAAATCTGAAACACCACCCATCCTAAAGTCCACTTCTATTCTCAGCCAGACCAGAAACAGAAAAACAGCTCTGTTCCTGAACCCTGAGAATGGTCGCACAAGCTTGGCAGCACAATTTCTCAGTTACCTCCAGCAGGACGCCAGATTCTGCCAGAGAATTAGACTCTCTCCCCAGTGGCGGAATTGGAGATAGGGTTTTGCTTTCCTCTACTCTTTGTAGGTGAGCTTGAGGAGTCAGGACCACAGGTGTGAAGTGCAGCTTAGCCCTGGCAAACACATACCGCTGCTTCACAAACATCTCCCTGGGTAGTCTTTTGTCAAATAGACTATCCCTGTTTCAGGTCTGTCGTAACTGAGCGTTTGATTTAGTGTCTGATGGAAAGATGAAGGAATGCTGGGCTGAATGTAAAAATGCCATATTTTTTTATAAAGAAAAATGTATGCATATTTTTAAATTGCTCAAAGACAAACTTAAAAATTGTGCAAAATGACCTATTTAATTTAGTAAAAATGTTCCTGGTTGTATTAGGCATGGTTTATTAACGTTTCCTTTTAGAAGAACATAATTTAATAAATTTTTAAGACAAATTGATTACAATAAATTGATTACATACACTACTGTTCATAAGTTTGGGGTCAGTAAGATGTTTTAATGGTTTTATTTAAATAATTATCTTATGCTTACCAAGGCTGTATTTATTTGATCAAAACAGTAATACTGTAATATTATTACAGCTTAAAATAACTGTTTTCTATTTTAATACATTTTAAATGCCATTTACTCCTGTGATGAGGACAATGAATTTTCAGCATCATTACTCCAGACTTCAGTGTCACATAATCCTTCAGAAATAATTCTAATATGCTGATTTGCTGCTCAGTTGTGTTGATTAATATTATTTTTCTAGATTCTATGATGAATAAATATCAAAATACAGCAGTACAGCAAAAAAAAAAAAAAAAAACGTTTATAATATCAGAAATGCCTTTACTGTCACTTTTAATCAAATTAATGCATCCATGCTGAAAAAAGTATACATTCTTAAAAAAAAAAATCTTAATGACTCCAAACTTTTGAAAAGCTGTAATGTTAAAATATATTAAATGTTTCATGCTATACATAATTCTGTCAGAAACTGGGCACATCTTTTTAAAATAAAATTAAAAAAAGATTATTGGGGATTATTTTTACAAGAAAAAAGTATTTCAGTCAAAATGTCATGTTTAATTCAACGAGTTACTTTCTAATGAAAATCATTTCTACACCCAATTTTTAGTTTATATCAATGAAATTTCTGAAAACATTAGCTAGATTTGAACATTAATGCTTACTATGCCGTTTTCCAAAGTCTTCTCAGGACGCATTCTGACGTTACAAACACTAATCACACATTTCCTATGGTGTCACTCTACAACTTCCAGTCTGCGTGGCTCAGGTACTTGTCATAAATACATAACACAACGAGAGGCTGGTGCTCAGTTAGAGCGGCCCGTCCTCCTGCCCCTCTGGAGTTACACGCTTTAATTGCTGTCTCTTTGCACGCATTGTAAAATATTCATTTACTGGGGCTAATGGAGCTTGGAGAGCAGGAACACAATATAAAGGGCTGGGCAATTTGGAGCACTCGCCAGCTCTAACAATACATCATCATCTCTCAGAGGCTGCGAAGGGAGTACTGCCACATCCTCCGCTGGGCTCTAGTATGCTGCCTGCAGCCGCTCTCTGCTTCAGTGGAGAGGGAGCAGAGGAGACGGGGCACAAAGGCTACTACCATCACACTACTGCCACCTACTGTCAGGCTGATCTGACAGTAGACTGAATGAACGCAGGACACTGACCGACTGCAATCCGTATTACAGCAGTATGGATTGGTTTAAGCCTGAGGTTACACTGGTAATGCAAATGGTGTGGTTGATTCTGGATCCGTAAACTGACTCCTGTTCAACTGTCTAGCTATAATATGAAGAAACAGATATAATTTCTATCATGCAACACTGATTCATTTGACTTGGATCAGAAGTTTTAAAACCATCATCAATTTCATTACCAATCACTTTCCTGCTGTATATTGCGTAAGGCGCTGGTCTGGACTCTTCAAACTGCTTCTACAAATTGCACGGCACACATCCTGATTGATCGACTGGTGTTATGTGATTGCTGTAATTAAAATGGGTTTGGGATTAAACAAATCAGCTTAAGTATAACTCCAGCAATGTGTATTAATGAAAAATACTGATGCCATTGATTAATTGTGCATATGTTTTCAAAGCTCGTATTTAGCAAGAACAATTTGCCCTTGGAGGAAACTTTAATGGGAGAATCATGCATAATCTTTATCTAGGTATGAATTTTATCACTATGAACTTGGTAGACATGCACTGAATAACATATTAGACAGCATTTATGGCAGTGGTTCACAGTCTTTTTGACTCCAAAGCCTACCATTTTTCGAGACGATTTTCAAACCTATGAGCATCAATATATTAAAACAAAAATACTAACAACAGCAATTCATTTTGTGATTTCAGAAGTTTCGAAAAACTGGTCTGCATGACTGTAATATATAGGACCAAATCTCCACATTATGGTCAGGAGTGAGTTGAAAGTAACCCACGAGGGAATTTTTTTTTATTATGTTTTTGAAATAAGTCTCTCATGCTCACCAAGGCTGCATTTACTAAATTTAAAATTGAGTAAAGCAGTGATATTGTGAAATATTATTATAATTTAACATAACTGTTTCTATTTTAATACATATTAAAATGAAATGTATTCCTGTGATGGCCAAAGCTGAATTTTCAGCACCATTACTCCAGTCTTCAGTCACATGATCCTTTAGAAATCATTGTAATATGTTGACTTGCTGCTCAATTATTAATACTGGTTCTTATTATTAATGTCTAAAACAGTTTGCTGAACACTTACCATAAGTATGAGCTTCTGATACTTCTGTTTCAGCTCTTTAATGTCATCTGTTGGACAGGCACCCAGTATTGAGTACCAGTCTTTCTGTGGGCCACTGGAATCTACCATAATCCTAAAGAATACAAACAAAAAATGCACAGGAAAGCATGAATTATGTATTTAAAACAAGAGGTACGTGCAGGACGATTTGCTAACTATTTATTTACAACACCCCCCCAACTCTTTAAAGCAATGATTAGTTAATAGTCAATAGGTTTAAAACATTTTGAACTGTCTTTAGTTGTCAGTTAGTGGACAAGATGTACTGTACGCCACATATAACTACCGTAACAGCATACAATGCGATAAAAAGTGTAATGCACATATATACTGCAGAATGATATCGTATAAGTAAACTGTCGTGCTTACTAACCTAATATAAAGAGTTTTCCCCCGTTTCTATGCAGCTGTCATGAGCGTTGGCCTTTCCAGTCCATGCCGCGTGTGAGCGTTTGCCCCGCTCTTTAACGCCCTGACAGAAACACGTATGTTTTACCAATAAGACATATTTTGTAATTAGATATATATGTAAACTACACAAATTGGGCAACAAATCATTTGTACTTATGTTTGTACCTCAACAATGAAATGTCTATGTTCTGATATCCCACTGCTCTCGAGATGACGGAACTCCTCGAATTAAACGTTTCTACACGGAAGCTTTAGAGCGAAACACGCTGCTGTATCTGTGGGAAGAGACATGCTCAAAGCAAAGAGGCTTTTTGTTTGCAGTTTGTTAATCTCTGTATGTATTTAAAGCAGACGTTTTTTTCATTTTAGTTTACAATTTAATGAATAATAATAAAAAAGGATTCCAAAATGGTTCCTAATCGCATGTTATTGGAATTATAGGTATAATAAAATAGATTTATTGATTGATATGTGGGATTTCAAGGTGTGGAAACATGATAGGACATGCATAGAGATTGAAATTCAGAAGAACAAATACGCAGTGTATTATTACAATTACTTAAATCCTAATACTTTTATTTATCAGCAGAAATCCTGATAGAAAGCATGTTTTTTGAAACAAGTATTGTTTAAATACAGAACTGAGCTAAACAAGAAAATGCAACAATCATGACAAAGGGATGTCACAAAATAGTGAAATTTTACATTGGCAAAATTAGTCAAAACACTTCCTTCTGGCAGCATATGTGTGATTGTGACAAGGGTTGCAAGAAAAGTTGGTGGATGTTTGTTAATTGTGCTGGGAGTGATCTAAAATAGCCTGGGTGTCACAGTCTACAGAGGGCAGAAAAAGAAAGAAAAAGAAAAAAAAATCACATGGTGCGCACCTCAGCCACTGTCTCCAGCTGCTAATTAACAAAGTCTTTAATGAGCGCTGTGATAGAAGCCACATGTAACAGACAAACCAGATTGTCTGTCGATGCATGTTTACTCAATTTGGGCTTATTATGCAGCAATTAATAATTCCATGATGAAATGTACTGATTTATTTTTGTTTGACATTTCAGATGTATAAAACACAATAACAACTTTGTTTTCTTGTTTTACTGATGCGTGTAATTCGTTTGTGTAATTCCACTTTCGCCTCTAGAAAATCAAGTCTAAGGGAAGGAAAAGTTGTGGTTTTAGAGAATCTGAAAAGTTACAGCTTCATTACAGAACACTTATCATGAACTTATGCTAATAATGTGATTCCCTTTCTAAAAATATAAAGGCAGCTTTTATATACAGCATTCAAAATATGCAGCGTGTCTCTTAGAAAACCCTTTAACGGAATTATAAAGACACTTTATATGTCATACATTGTCTGTTGTAGAGTCTTTAATACTATTCGACTGCTGTTGTTATTTACAGACTCTGTAGGTGTTAACAAGAAAAGCTTTTGACTGGCGTACATCTAACGGCACTCAAATACCACTTTAATTACTGGAACTGAAAAGTAAACAAAACAAACAGAACAAACTTTACCATGCCATTGTGCAACACTTCTAACATATCATTATTTGTGCTAATTACTGATTTAAAAGTTGGGAGGAATTAAACAAAGTAATTAGCAAATAGCATTCTGATTAGTTCGAGCCTTGTTCTTGTGTATGCGTGTGATGCATAAATCCTTAATAAGGAAAAAATAAGGAAGTGCTTTATGAACTCTGTTGAAAATCTATGCTAACAGATACACTCTTAAAAATAAAGGTTCCAAAAGGGGCTTTTCTAGCAATGGCATATAAAAGAACCATTTTGGGTGCACCAAAGAACCTTTCATTGAACAGCTCCTAAAATAAATTTTCTTATTGTGAAGAACAAATGAATAATCTGTAATAACTTTGGTCCATTGTAAAGAACCTTTTGTGCAATGAAAAAGTTCTCTGGATGTTAAAGCTTCTTCATGTAACCATAGATGGGGTTTTACAGCGATGCCATAGAAGAACTTTGGCTCCCCAAAGAAAGAGCCATTTATTTCTTAGTGTGAAGAACAGTAAGAAAACAGAATAATCTAAAGAAACTTTTGTGGGATGGAAAGATTCTATGGATGTTAAAAGGGGTCATGAACTGAGAAACCAAAATTCCCTTGATCTTTTGACATATAAGAGGTCATTGTAACATCCTGTAAGTTTCAGATCTCAAAACTTTGTCGTTACTGTAAAAACAGCTTATATTAAAGGCAGTCTGCCAAAACGACAGCTTTTGGAATGTTCTACTCTGTGATGTAATAGTGTGGTTAAGCACCGCCTCTACAGAAGAAGATCAGTGCTTGCTTCTACAGCACTGCCTGTTTTGCTCCACCCACCAATTCGCTCATGTAATGTTTACAAGCGAGGCAAACTCGCAGGTCTACGCTGAAACCAAACGATAAAGATGGCTCTGAAGACAACAAGATGCTGTACAGTGCCACGTTGTGGAAAAACAGTGTTTGCATTGCCTTCCTTCTGATCCCAACATTAAGTGGATGAACTTTATTTTTAATGAAGATCCAGACTGCGTCAGTAAGAACTCGGTCCTTTGTTCACTTAATTTTACAGTGGATTCGTTTACAAACAAGGCACAATTCGATGCAGGATTTTCAGAAAGATTGAAACTAAAAGACGATGCTGTGCCAACTATATTGAATCCGACAATAATGTCACAACACAAGTATGAGTAACTGTATTGTATTGAATTATTTATGCATTTTTGACCTAAACCACAGCAGCGTCCATCTATGAGGAATGTACGCTATCAAACATACTCAACTACTTTATTAGCCAATCATAGCAGTGGGCATTTACTTACGAGTCTACAATCCGTATTCAAACAGCGTTCTGATGAGGGGGGTTAAAAACAGGACAGAAAATAGCTTATTACTTCTAAATTATGTTTTTTGATGATAAAAAAAACAAAACTTGATAACGTTATAAGTGGGCCCCAGAGAACAGTACAAAATAAAAACAAAGGCAGTTCATGGCCCCTTTAAAGATTCTTCATGGAACCATCGATGCAAATAAGAAATCTTTAGTTTTAAGGAGGAGGTTTGCTTCTTGAATGGACATGGTGAAGACATCTAGAAGTCTGTGGTTGAAACTGTTGGTGCAAGCTCAGTTGCAAATGGTTCATATTTTGTGAAGAAAAATGAAATTTCATGAAAGACAAATAATTTTATCCAGTTGATATAACGGATGTGGAAGCCAGAGATTATGAGTGATCAGTTTGTTCACTGACCCAGAGTTTAATTTCACCCTGAAATTTGGCTGTAGGAAACTGGCTGTTCCTGCTGTGTCCATAACTCCAGAGATTCATTTTTAAAACTGTGGGCCAAAGAAGCTGTAGGTTACCTCCAAATGCTGTTAAATGTTCAAAATAAAGAACATTTAGGCTATTATGAAAAGGTGACAAAGCATTTTGGGTTCCTTAAAGAACATTCTTAAAAGAACCATTGTTTCCTTAGTGTAAAAAACTTTTTAACAATCTAAAGAACATTTTTCCACTATAAATAACCTTTTGTGCAATAAAAAGAAAGTTGTATTTGTTGCAAGACTTGTTGTATTGCATTCCTTCTGTCCATTTTGGCCATGCATGATTGGGACTAAACAGGAAGTAGTCATCAGGTGTGGTTCAATGTAACCCTCACCCCCGCCCTGCACACTCCAACATATTCATAACATATTCATCTTCACCAGAGAGTGCGTGGGTAGCTGGAGTCTCGCATTGCCAAGGCCCTAATTAAATCAGATGAAGGTCAATCTTTTGTTTGTAATAGCAGGTTGAAAATGGAGCTAACACTATTGATCCAGTTGAAGTCAAGCACTGCAATGTATTGAAGCTTCTATCACTCCCATAGTGTCATTTTTATCAAAATGTTGACCAGTTTGATGTTCAAACCAGGCTTATTATCATTAATGAATCCCAAAATAGTAGGGAAAAAAAGAGCTCTGGCTCTTTGCTGGACCATAAAAAAAATTAAAAAATTAAAAAATAATTTTCGTTACTTAAAATAAATTGAACATTAACTGAAATAAAACTTAGAAAACTTATTTTATATAATAACTTATTTTATTTCAGCTAGTTGCCAATTTAACAGTTTTCTATTTTGTTTTAAGTTGAAGTACTAAAATAACTAAAACTAAAATAACTGTTAAACTAAAAATGACACAAAATACACACACACACACACACACACACACACACACACACACACACATTAAAGCTTTAACCAAAATTTAAATGAAAACAGAACACATAAAAATAAAATATAATTCACAATATTTACAAAAATCCATAATGTTATATCATTGATACTAAAACAACACTGGTTCAAATCAATGTATGATTGCTGGTATATAAAATATTTCATAGATTTATAATTATATAAAATATTTACATACAGTCTACATCCTCAACTGCATACTGTATCTCATAAAACTATGATTATCAGCAGTATTTACAATTATTTACAATTCAAGATAACCATACAGGGATTTTATTTTTAATGATTTTTATTTAACCTTTTTTATTAAACCTTTTTATTAAACCTTATATAAACATTTTTTGTATTATATTACAGTCACATTAAAACTTGTAAACCTTTGGACACGTCATTTGCTTTTGTTACTTTTTTAATGACTTTTTCAAATTAATATTTAAACATTTTATATTTTTACTCTGGTACCAATTTTAAAATAAGATATTTATAATATTTTATTATATATTTTTATTGTATTTATAACTATAATAATCTACTGTAATTAAAAGGTGAGATATACCTAAACCATTTCAATATTTATGTGTGATAATGATTGTATACAGATATATATAATGGCACATTGTTAGTTAACAAATAAACAAGAGATATGTGAAAAGTGTTTTCAGGAAGTTTCTGCATCTCAATATTCCTTGCAGACATCTTTGATACGATACATCCACTAACACCTCTATAATGGCACCATTTTTCTGCTGCAAACAGTTTACAGGCCATAAAACCACTTATTTACTTCAACCGTGACACACAAACCACATCAAATCAGCAGTTCAAGACTGAGGTTCCACGCCTGGCCATTAGTATAAAAACATTATCCTGGTGCTTGTTTGCAAAGCACTCCAGTGGCGATGAGGGAAGTGTTTGAGTTCCTTGTGTGTGTATGTGTGCTTGTACTCATCATTTCCATAGGTGAGGCTCTACGCTGCCCCCTGACGGGTGCATTGAAACACCCTTTCTTCTCCATGAGTACCAACCACTTGTAATTCAA